TTCCGCAGGATACCGTGGAATGTACCGGACGATTAAAATCAGTGAGTTTCATGGACTGAAGAGAACTCAACTATTTTTATTCAATAAAAGTAAATAGAGAACGTGCTTGTTATTTTAGAAAATTATAGGTTTGGTCTCTGAGGAGCAAGTAAAGAACATAAAAAATTCAGTTTTATCGCTAGATGTCATCGCACGACAGAGCTTACATATTCTCTACGTACACTATGTCGTCTTAGACGTAATAATTATGTTCGTTTTTTAGAGTGCATGATAGTTTTTTAATCATTATTTAACCATTACAGAATACAAAATAGGTTATCGCTTAACGTTGCATAAACATGGAAAACCAAGCGTTATACTCTTTTTTCTTTTCTTATTCATATTAATTTACTGTTAATTAAAGTTGTTAATATTTGTAACAAGAAAACATGATGCTTAATTAACAGAATGTTAATTTATTAATTAATGTTGAAAATAAAGAAATAAAAAGTAATACATTCATTAAAATTACTGCTTAAAATTAAAATGACATTCTGAAACAAGTTTAACTCGTAATCGTAATAAAGATGAACAGTGAGTGTTGAACTTATTAAGGAAATAGATTATTAATTAGGAACTAAACATTCGTTTCTTTTTAATTGGTATCTTCAGTATAGACATGTATGGCTGTAGTCTTGTGTTTTTGCTTTCGAGGAGCAGTTTTTGTCAGTCAAATATCTAATCACTTGTTTTTACCGATAAAATACATACATACATATACATATTTATTCATAGATTTCAAGCAAGTAATAATAAATTGTACGAAGAAATAGACTAACTAGAAATCCCGTAAAACCTAATTAGAATGAAGAAAAGGCACCAAAAATATTTTTGGCTTTCTTTCATCAACACTTCAATCTGACACTGGAAGTAATAATTAAAAACAGTAAAATAAAAACAAATAACCCCTTTATTTAATAGCAACCATCAATTTACGGTCTTTGCGGATAACTTAACAATCATAGCAAGATTAAAAAAAGAGCCAAAGAAATACGTAATAAAATTGATACACGAAGCAATACAATTTTGTATATGGTGATGCAAGACATAAAGAGAAATTTGAAGGAAGATGCCAAAGATAACTTTATGCTACAAACATCAAAGAATACACAGTCCAGAAAACTAACAAATTGGTTATATCGGAGTAACCATAGAGGAAAGTTGACACGAAGAACAAGAAATTCAGGCAAACATTGCAGAAGGAAACTTGAAATATAGAAGCCTTATAAAATCAAAAGTTGTATCTAAAAATACCCAAAAAAAAAGAATATACACAGACACAGACAGTCAAAAGACCAACATATGCCAGTGATAAAGTTGAATAAGAAAAGATGAAAGGTCGGAAAGAAAGATGTTAAGAGGCTATTTGGGGAGAAATAAGGAGAGAAAAAGAGTGGAGAAGAAGAACAAACCAGGAATTGGAAGAACTTAATGAAAAAACCCTAATATTCTAGCAGTCGCCAAAGCGCCAAGAATAAGAAGGCCGCTGAAATATGTAGGAAGGTAAAATGAAGAGACTGCCCAAATTGGTCCTAAAGGAAAATCAATGTACAAAAAAATGTAGGATAAGAAAGAGATTCATAAATAAGACTGATGGATCCTATTGACCAGATTCGCTAGGAGTTATGAAGGCAATTCTTACTTATATTTAATTTTAATAATGGAAGAAAGTAGAGTAACTAAATCTATTAAAATGGTATTGGTATTCTTATTCAGTTAGCACAGACAGGTTCTAGTAAACAAAATTGAATATTACGACTATTCTTAAACGATGAAAACGGTGAGTTTTTGAAGACAGTATATCTGGAAAAAATTGAATTTTGACCAGTTCTTAGGAATTTATTTTTGAATGGATGGTAAGGACATTTTTGCTGATATGACTTTATGAAGGATTGATTACTAATGACCACACAAATAAATGGTGTTTTACAAAATTAAAGAGAGAAAGATGTTAAAGCATTGAATTTCCTATGAACGTGTGCGGTTTTCGTCGTTCATCTTGACTTGAATATAAGAAAACTTTCGACCAAATGATATTTAGAAGCGCTTTTGATTGACAATGTCAAAGGAAATCTAAAGTTGATTCCTCAAACTTTTTGGATAGGTTTGTTGCTATGGAATAAATATGGGTCCATTATTATGACCCAAACAGCAAAGCGCAATCCAGGTAGCGAAAGTATTCTAGTGCTTCATTAAGAAATAAAAATCGTGGTTAAAAAATTGAATGGCATAGTTTTGGCTTTAGTTTGCTAGGACAAAGATGGAATAATTAATGTATTAATGGGAAAGGGGTAAAAGAATCACGGGAACATATTCTGCTAATTAGATTAGCTAAAATATTGTTAAAAACCGGCGCGGAAAACTTGCAAAGGATGTTCTCTTTTAACAAGACAATGTTCCTACTCACAAGTTGTTGATTACTATGCAAAAAAAGTATGAGATTCCTGGATCATCTGCCATATTATCTGGATTTAGTACCGTCGGCTCAATATTTGTTACCAAAATATAAGAACCCTTGAACGATAAAAGATTTTCGACAACAAATGATAAGGTCGTATGTGCCATTGAGCATTTCTTTTCAGATCTAAATAAATAATGTTTTTAAAAATCTTACAAATACTGTATGCCGTGTTCTAAATGGGTCAATTTTAAAAGGTTTTTATTGAATAAATGAAATTTTGTTTTGAAAAATTGTTTTATATATTAGGTAATAACACCTCGAAGGCCATAAGTTAAATCATAGCAGTTGAATTGAATTGATTATTTAAAAAAACTCACCTGAATAATAGTAAAAATACAAACGAAACAAACGAAAACATGATAAATTACTTTTGAAATGAGACAATATAGAAAGGGCATATTTTTTTATAAAATAACTAAGATATATATCATTCTAAGATATTAATATAATCAATCTGTGAAACGAAACAATTCAGGATATGACATTTCAAACAATACATGTAACGATCCCGAATGTGGGCACGAATGACAAATTGACAAGCAATTAATCACAACTAGAATAAACCGTATTGCAATTACTTCAAACACCCTAATAGCCTTCAATATCAAATAGGTAATACAAGTTCTAGTTCCCGCCGCATCTAAATGAAATCAGTTCTCCGTAAATTATTACTTGACATAACTGACACTCCTGTGTTAATATTGCATAATGCATCTAATGAACTCTACAGACAATGAAGACGTCTCGTGTAGTATAGTTTAACTGTTCTTGCATCTAATATCTCTGCCATTAATCAGTAGCATGATAATGTAGCGGGAAAAATATATTTTATGAGGTTGTTGATAGATTTTATATTGTCTGCTCAATTTACGACTTACCTACATATTCAATAAGGGTTGATGTTTAAAAAACGTTAATGTTAAAAAGTAATAGAGAGTTTTATATACAGGGTGTTTCCGAACTTGGCGTCCAAATTTGTAGGGGGTGGTAGTTCGCATAATTTGAGAGCGATTGGCAAATTTCATTTTTCTAAAAAATTATAATAAACAAAGTAGAGCCATTATAAAAAAATCAAAGAGCAGGTCCTACCCTGAGCGGTCCTCAAAAACAGATGCGATTTGCAATTTTGTCGATTCTAAGCGTAGCGCGCGCGGGTCGAGGCGATCTTATCGCTGTACAGGACCGTACCTGTTTATAATTTTTAATTAATTTTTAATTTTAAATATTTTGGAAAAATGAAATCTGCGAATCGGTCTCAAATTATGCGAACTACCACCCCTACAAATTTGGACGCCAAGTTCGGAAACACCCTGTATATCATAAAGGTACAAACCTGAAATATTTTGGAAGAAACCCCTTAGTTATAACTCAATAACTAGTTTGCATTACTAGATTACAACATTTTAAACAAGTTATTGCTAACGGCAGAAGTGACGGTGATGGTGAAATTAAAGAAAACTAAATATAAATTCGAATAATATGGCTTTAATGGTGGCAGATCAGTAGTTATTAACATTTTATCTTATATCGTTGGCTGCACTAAGGAACTAGTTCTGCGAAATTATGTATTAGATGTAATTTCAATGATAGCAAAGTGTTTAAAAATAGATTGTACTATATTAGACAGAATTCGTCTTCGAGGTAATCTAAGGTTTGTTCCAACAACAATCTGAAACCATATACAAACTAGTCCACAACTTATTGTCGACGACCTGGCCAGGACATGTCGAGGATTGGGACTGAATTCGGATCTTGGTTGTGTTGGAATACATTTTTTTGCTGTCAGACAAATGACCTGGAGTAGAGTAGAATGCTTGTTAATAGGCTTGAGATGCGACTCTATGGGTGCCGCCATTTTATTTTTCATCTCACTCGGGAGTATTTATAATAACCATTCTCAGTTTTACCTTGTTATTATCTGATCCACTAGATTGTGGACTAGACAAAACAATGTGAAACAAAAAATGGTTATCATAAATACTCCCTAGTGGGATGAACAATAAAAATGGCTGCACCTAGTTTTATTGATACAACATGCACATTAGCATTCTACCCCACTTCAGTTCATTGTGTCAGACACACTCTGTCAATAACGTCAAAGTCAGAACAAAATTAACAAATGTTAAATTTTGAATTTAGGAAATAAAAAATTATTAAACTGAATAAAAGATTTATAAATTTTTATTATTCGATTGGTTAGTACATTAAATTTTATTTATTTTAATATTTTACTATTCTGGAAGTCAGAATAATCGTCATTTTAACTTTCTTCACTCATTACGCTTTAAAGTCAACAAATACACGTATAAAATAATAGACTATAAAATAATAAAAATGTAATCCCAATTAGGTATCCTATCTTTCGTAATAGATTATAAAAGCAAATCAAGAAATCCATTCTCATCAATTTATTAAGGTTACTGCTTTTTATTCATATTTAGTAGTTTGGCATTTAAGTGCAGTATTTTGCTGATACGTTTTTAAGAAGAAAATAACTTACCAATTATAGTGTGAACTCTAACTGATAGCTGGGTTCTCAAAACGATGGAGTTCTTTTTGCTGTAACAAATAAAAACTGGTTATAACAACTATTATTTTACTATTGTATCAAGTAAGAACAATCATTAACATGTCATGTACGGTTCATATACAGTTTGCCACAAACAGTTTTTTACAAATGGAAAAAAAAATTATCATACAATAAAAAAAATATATATTATTTTTTTTTTTGAAAAAAGTATTGTACTTGGAAATCCATAATCAACTTTTTACGATTTGTTTGAAGGTATTAACTAGTATGATATAATGTAAAATTACTATTTTTTGTAAATATAGGAAATAAATATTAAAATTTTCATGTTTGGACCCGAAACAGAAGAGTTATAATAATATATAATAATAAATAACATAGAAGTCTAAAATAAATGAAACATTTAAGCAAAAATTAAAAACCTGTGTATAAATAATATTTATTTGAGCTCAAATTTGTAAGTTTTTTAATTTAGTTCTAGTAACAAAATTAGTTAATAACTGTTAGATGATTATCAAATGATCCTCTATTAGGTGAAAGAAAGTATTTAAATTTTGATGTAACAAAACATCATTATCAATTTTTTAAAAACATTAATATTTTTTATTATTTTATTATATTCTACGGCCACAAATAAGCAAAATATGTGTTTATTTCTCAATTTTCAACTAGAAGATCTATTTATAATTTAGGCGGAAATGACAAAACTGTCAAAATATCAATTGAAAACTTTAATTCTTTAAATTAAATTGATCGAAATCGATAAATTTTACAAAACTTATAAAATATGTACCATGAAAAAGCAACAATTTTTAATTATGTATCTTGGGGTAATTTATCTTGAAAATGGTAACAAAAAAAAAAAATATCGCACATAATTAACTTTACTTGTAATATCACTAAATCGAAAACATTTAATATGTTGGATTACAGGCAAAATCTCGTTACTGTAGCACTAATGGTTGTTGAAATATTAACACATTCAAATTTTATGCCATATTTCTCTTAAGGCTGGCGTTCACCCATATATATCTGGCGTTCACCCATATATATCTGACGTATATGTGCGGTTGACTTTAAACGTAGCTTTCGTGAAAAATATATTTCCTAAAATTAATTTTAGTATTGAAAACCGTTCAAGAAGTGTGCGGTTGAGACGTCTTAAAAAACGGAGTTTTTAAGTACTCGAAAAATGATTTTGACTTTTGGTATTTAAACCACGTAAAATCATTGACTTGCCTATTAATTTTCATTAAAACTACACATGTTTTCTTTTCGTTACAAGCCCTACAACTAACACAAGAAAATAAAACATATCACAGTTCAAATATAATCTATTGTTCGGATGGTCCCTTAACCCGAGCCGATTTCTGGGATAGCAAAACATCATAAACCTGGTGGTCGACAGAAAAGGGTGGGACAACTATTTGGATGAACAGATTATCGAACACCGTTGAGGAATGCAGTCGATTTCTTTTGTTAATACTGTGTTATTCCATTTGTTTTAATAATTGTTAGTTTTGTAACATTATTTTAATATTAATAAACTTCATACGTAAAATAAACATTTAATTATTTGTGTAGTTTACACAAAATATTGTTTATTTTCCTGAAAGCTAGGTTTAAAATGATATAGATTTTTTTTTTATGAAATACAATTATATTTTGTTTATGATATATCACGCGACATAGCAGAAAGTTATAAAGTTTAAAACATTTTTAAGTATTTTCTTTTAACGGTTTTATAAGGACTCTCAGAACCATGTTTAATTGAACTTTTTTTATATAAAATTATCTCTAAATATGTATCACTGCTAGCCTGAAACATCGTGTATGTTCACTTATGTTTTCGACCAATATAAAACTTGAGCCGGTCCTGTCCAAGCCGGGCGTTATTCGCATGAGCTCCGGCACACTATTTGCTTCTTATGGTTAGATATATGGAATTGGCTTTCTACACTATATGCCATAATCCAAAAAGGATGACGATATTATTAAGGTACCGATGCCATGTTATAAGAACTTTATTTTATAAAATAATTACGTGAAAACTTCGTTCCTATTAACTGTAATGTATAACGTAATAACTATTGAAAATAGTAAAAAAACATTTTTGGGTAAAAAAAATAGAAAAAACAGAATCTTGCAAATTGGCCTTATTTGGCAACTGGGTTCATAATAAGGCCAGTATAAATTTGATCAACAAAGTTGGGGAAATAAAATAAATATTTTGAAGTAATAAATAATTATTAATAGAAACAATATAAACATTAAAAAATCATCATGAATATCAGTTGCAAAACAAGAAATATAAAATTCTTATAAAATTCCTGTTTAGGAACACTTTGGACAGAAAAAACCTCTATATCTTCTTTGTTTAGTTCTACGCACTCTTCATGGACATAGGCGCCGCACATTTTACATGTGTGCAATTCTTCCTTCATCACAAATAAAGCAAAACCAGGATTCTCTTTATTTGCTTACCTACTTTTTCTTTTTCTTTGCTTATGTTTTCCTCTTTTTTGTCTGCAAGTTTCTTTTTCATTGTTACTTTCTGTTTCTTGCCTTCATTATCATTTTTCATTGCGGCAAAAAACAAATCTCTAGGAACTTCCTGAGCTTTAGAGTTGATTGCTGGATGCCGTTTTCTAATAGAAACTTTAAGTTTAGGAGTAATAAAGAACCCAAATTCGGTAAAGCTCACATCAAGATCTTTGCTTTCTTTTCTTCTTTATTGTCACTTCTCTTTGGGCTTTTATTAATTTTCTTTTCTTTCGCTTCATTATCTTCTGCAGCAGGTTATACATTTACAGTTTGTTCCTCGTTGCTTTGTAAATCACTTTTTTGTTTATCTTCTTGTTTTTCGTTGCTTTGTGAATCACTTTCTTGTTTCTCTTCTTCCGTTCTATCATCGTCCAGGTCTCCAAATTTCTCTTCAATTTCATCACTTGACGAAACACTCGTGTATGATCCAGATGAGTCACTGTCGCTCTATGATAATTCAGACTTTTTTACTTTAGTGATACCACTAGCACCAGCAACTGGATTAGTGATAATTTGACTATTTTTACCAACATCCTCTTTAAATACATTGTCAGGTAATGCACTAAGTGTAAGAACACTGGGCGCAAATGTTACCTCCGGGATGGCATTTGATTAAACGGCCATATACCTGTTGCTCTAAATCCCGATGGTATGTTTTCAGCGGAGATCGATTTCAAACAAACTGGTGTAAACATTTCTCCAAATCTTGCCCTGGATGATTTACCCAAAAATTTAAAACCTGTTCGTCACAAAACGATTCAAAGCTTCTTAAGACAGCTTTGTCTAACGGCTGAAGTTTATGCGTACTATTGTTTGGTAAGCAGAACAAAGTGATTTCGTTGTTCTGCAGCTTCAACAATACACATTTTTAAGTGGGAGGAAGCTCCATCGAAGATTAATAAAACTGACTCCGGACTTTTAAATTTATAAAGGCATTTGTTGTCATGCTGCACCTTTTTGTCATTAAAATCTTGAACTCCTCAGGTAATCCGTACACCTTTAAAGACAATAAGCGGAGGAATGCATTGTCCTAAAGCATTAGCACATGCTACAACTAAAACATTTTCTCCATGTTTGGGGGCCACTAGATATACTCGCTTCGCTCCTTTCTGAGCCAGCACAGTTTGTTGACGATGAAGAGTCAACTGGTACCCTTTTTCGTCCATGTTATATATCTGGCTCGGCTTGCGCTGAATTTTTTTTTCAATCAAAGTAGTTCTGAACTTTTTAAAGTAATCATCTACAAATTCATGATTCATTTTTTGAGCTCTGGTCAGGTTCAGTTTATGCGCTCGGCGTTTCGCTAGTTTTTTCCAGCTATCTTCTTCAGATCCGACAAATTGTGGCGAATGTTGTTTTCGTTGACGAATGCACTTTTTCGCAAAAATTTTGGAGTAAAAGGCATTCCTACATCGCACAACGTCCTATCATTGGAACCAATTCTCTTTCTTGCCCTTCAGATAAAATTGGATGACTTTCAAGCTTCTTTTTAAACGTGTGGTTGATGATTTGTCTTTGTTTTACAAATGCTCTTCTGAAACTACATACAAGATAATGTTACTAATACCAAAACGCAGATAATGTCACCTCAAAGGTTAATCCAAGCTTCAGGTAAAGGTTTAAAAAATTGCACTATGATTATGGTCCGTCAGATAGTGACCGATTTAGGTGCCCCATTTTCCCATACAAGCCTCGAAGAGGGTTGAAAAGTACATGTATGTTGAGTAGAATAAAAGAAAATTTACGAGTGGCTCTTGGGGATAACATGGAAAATTCGATTTTCTTTATCAGAAAAATTTTCCGACCCCAAAATTCACTTCATTCAAGGTCATTCAAGATAATATATTTTTCGGACTAGTGACGATGTACGTTTTCATACATTCGATGGGCTTGTGTGGAAAAATCTGGTAAAATTTCGATTATTCCTTAGAAGATTACGCCCTTACTTCAACCTTTTAGCCACTTGCAACATTAAAGCCTTTGGTTTTACGAAGTGAAAACGGCTTGCGTGGGAATATGGATAACAAATAACCTTTCATTTTTGTTGGGAAAATCGAATTTTCCATGTGTTAACCCAAGGCGCCACTCGTAAATTTACTTTCATTCTATTTAAAATCGATGTGCTTTTCAACCCTTTTCGAGGCTTGTATGCAAAAATGGGGCACCTAACCTTGTCACTATTTGACGGTCTTTTATACGCAATTTGGAATAAATAACTTAAAAATCTTAAATAAAAATTATTTGAAAATAAACGTGCAACAAGACTTATTTAGAACAGTTACACACGCCTACAATTGAAAACATTTGCAACAGAAACAAAAAAAAATCAGTTTCACGACTAAAAAGCAGCACATAAGTTGATATGCATAACTCATTGAATTCAATAGATGCAAATTTCTTATACGAACCTTCACGACCCACAGGTGAAGTAGAGCACCTACATCAACCTCTCAAACTATTGAGAATGGGTACCTATCAAGTTGTATT